AACAGGGTGACCTAGATTCTAACTGGTGAAGCACGGGTGGATCTTTCAGAGGGACTGACACTATGTGATCTCCTTGGCCAGTAGATGCTCGAGGGATGAAGAATTCAGCTTAATTTTCAGATCCCATGTGGAACTCGCAGGGTGGACAACAGACGCACGGGTGCCTGCGTGTGTTTGTACAGGGTAGAAATAAGCAACAAAGTATTTCACTTTGAACGCTAACACTGATTGTAGAATCTCTACTGTTTAAGACAGAACCCACTTTCTCTATGCTACTATAAAATGACAATGCAAATGTTTGCTGTGACGAACTTCTGAGAGCTCTGACAAGCCATCCACGTGCTTCACAGAATTCTGCTTGTTCAGAAACCCTGCTGGCATTGACTGCTGTTTATCCAGATGAATGCTGCCATAGGGCAATGGAGAGAGAGTAAAAGTGACAGAGAAATCAACAGTCCCAGGCCCCATCCCTCTCGTTATGACAATCAGATAATAAGAGTACTAGTGTTTGTGGTCATCTGAATAAGGCTCAGGAGCACTGAGGAATTCTGCCTTTACACAACACAAAAATCAAAGAAGGAAAAAGCTGGTTTTTAAACACGCAGCAGCGCTCACTTCAAAATTCTGTACAATTGGTATAGATGCTGGCCTTCTGCTTCAACTAAAACAAGATTGAAGTTCTGAGTTAAGCTCGACACCCTTTGCTCCAAGAGCAAACATGCCCTCTCTCCACCTACTGACACCTCAGTGAGAAGGATTCCTTGCAGGAATAAGATCCAGCAGCTTGAGAAAGCCCAAACTAAAATGCTATTATGATAAAAACGTCGAAAAGGACCTCACACTACAGCAAACGGAAACAAAACTTAGCAGCTCTTTGCTGGGACTATCAAGTCGAGGACGCCCAAGCGAAAGGTGCATTTAAAAATTCAAAGTATTTGACAGCTCTATGTTTTAACACACCGTTCTGAAGAAAACATAGGTGCTGCTCTTGCTCAGTGTTTGTGCACTTGCTAGAGGGAACTCCAGGTGATTGCAGCTGTCAAGTGAGAGGCAGAGGCTTAAACTGTGATGTTGATTTAAGCAAGTTATTTAATCTGTCCATAAGCTTGCTATTAACAGTTTCAAGCAGAGATTCTCCTTTCAGGTCAACGTCTCCTCTTCAGGTCAACTTGCTTAAACGTCTAAGCTTATTAACTTTGTAAGAACTTAAGTGCTGGGGGACAAAGGAAAATCCATGCCCTTAAAAGATCAAATAGCTTTTTCTCTGTGTTTTATTTTAAGAGGAAGTAGAGGAAATAGAGCAAGACTTTGGATTTCACGTGTCTAAGGGTATTTGTACCACGAGAGGGCACTAAAGCCGTACCTACGGCAGAGCACGAAGCCCTTGCTGTGTACCTCACAGAACCAAGTTACACAATTGAAAGCTCCAAACAAGTCGTTTTCCACGTTTGAAACACCAGCAGTCTACTAGCAAAATGTAAAGTTTCGGAGCTTGTCTGAAAGGATGTGAAGCGCAGGAGTTCGGAACGGACTGGAACGATCCGTGGGATAACAATATTTTGAGTACGAGCAACTACTTCTGCTTGTCCAAGCAGCAATTCTGTTTATGCACATAAGGAAAAGCCCTGTGCAACAGCAATTAACAAATCCGTGCTAGCTGACCACACCAAAAATATGCTTCTCGTATACTGGAACCTTTTTAATAAAGCTTGAAAACTCCTGAATGTTCCCATGAAATGGCACAGGACCAATGGCTCGGGTGGTGCAAGTTAAACACATTCCTCTACCGACCTCCTCCCATGAAAAAAACTACTTGCGATTTTAAGTCGTGTCGTAGGCGATACAGTTGTACTACCTGATGGACACCTCCCACACATCCTCCATAAGACAAAAAGCCCACCAGAAACTTTTGCAGGTGTAGAAATGCTACAAGGAAAGGAAATGTTGCGAAAACTTCAGCAGAAGGAGCAGGAGGCTGAGAGGAGACCTTATTGCCCTCTACAACTACCTAAAAGGAGGCTGTAGTGAGGCTGGTGCTGGTCTCTTCTCTCTAATTACTAATGACAGGACAAGGGGAAATGGCCTCAAGTTGCGTCAGGGTAAGTTTAGATTGGATATTCGGAGGAAGTTCTTTACGGAACGAGTGGTGAGGCACTGGAACAGGCTGCCCAGGGAGGTGGTGGAGTCACCAACCCTGGAGGCGTTTAAAAGAAAAGTAGATCTAGCACTTGAGGCTGTGGTGTAGTGGTTGGGTGTGCTGGGATGAAGGTTGGACTGGATGATCTTCAGAGGTCCCTTCCAACCCCCAACATTCTGTGATTCTGTGAAGTTAAATGGAAAAGTGTTGGCCTGAGGTCTTCAGTTCCTCTTCCCGTGTGCACGCATTTGAAATTTAAATATCTATCCTGAATAGAAGTTAGGGAAAAAAAAAAAGTATCAGGCAGCAGAACAGACAGGAGCACAAAAGCGAGCATCCAGCAAGTCAGGATTAGTGTATCACACTTCCAAAATCCTGTGCTAACAGCAAATGTCCCAACATGCTTGAGGAAATTCCTGTTTCACCTCTTCAAAATATACGCCAGGCGCATGCTGGAATGAAAACTCAGATTAGAAATTCGGATTTTTGATCCTATATTCCATCCCAGGCTGGCATATAACTTCCACTGACCATTAGGTGCATTCTGCTGATGGCTCACAGGGCAGCAGAGTGAGGAATCCCACTTCTCACTAGTTAGTTTAGTTCTTGTGAAGAGAGGTTTTTGTCAGGTGAAGCAAACGCCCAGCTATCCCATGGGCCTACAGCCCAAGGCACAGGCAGCCCCAATGCCGTTACTTTCAGAAATACTGGACGGATCCTTATTGAAACGAGATATTGAACTGGAGACAGAATTGGATATTCCAATTTCTTGGTAATTTTTTCAGCATAACAAATCCATCTCAAAGGATATAATTAGTTATGTGCCATCAAGCATGTAAGAACAAGAGGACAAACTAAATTCAGTATCTGATGTCCCCAAGGAGCAGCTCATGTTATGAAAGTCTCCTGAAGTCACAGGCCAGTGACCCTGGGACTGTCAAGCACAAATTTAATCCGTGTATTTACAAACATGCTGCTAAGAGCTCTCTATCTAAAGCCCTGTTCAGAAAGGTGTGTGGAAGCAGCACTGTTTGCATCCTGTCACCAAAACGTGCCTTCCAGCCTGTCACAGAGCCCGACGAGAGCAGATCGTGATGCTCTGTGAATCTATGATGCTCTATGAATTGTGTAAGTGCAACGGGTGATGTTAAATATTAGCATCTCAATACAGTTTGCATTTTTTAGGTTCTTGGCAGTGGCTGAATACTTGGTATATAACTACTGCGTTACATACCTAAGGTCAAAATTCAAACTTACGATCTCGACTTTTCAATTGCTCGTCCTTCAGTCCACAGAAAACAGAAGACTCCCAAAATTTCCGGCTACTTGTGTGAAGTCTGATTTCTGGGTCTGCATTCTTGAAACACTTTTGGTTTGGGAGACTTAACCTCACTTTCATGCAGCCTGTCAAGGTTCCTCTCGAGTCAACTGAAGTTTACAGTGAGGGAGGGAAATTGTCCCCAGACCTTATGAAAACAAGACAGGCAAATCTGCCTTTCCATTTTTGAATTCTGAGTTTTGACTTAAACCACAAACCATCATCAAGGTTGAATTAACCAGTACATCTATTTTACACTCCGTGCAAGGATGTACACAGAACGTCTGCACTATGTGTCAGGTTCATACTTTCGGGTTTCTTGCACTCAGACAAAAGACCTAAGGGATATTATAGATAGAAATGAAAAAGAAAAAAAACAAACCAACATTAAGATAGGAAAAGTCCCAGAAAAAGATTCAATGAGAGGTACCAGGGTAAGAGCTGACATGATGGAAGGCGGCAAGACAACCAGGGCAAAAATGCATAAAAGACAGTTATTCTAACGGTATAGTCTTGAAATTCAACCTACAGAAGCATCACGGATATTGTATCGGGAGATACGATGGCCTCCAGTCCAGTCTATGTTCAGACTAGACACTAAATCAGAGGAGGTTTGTCCGTGTCTTTCCACTGGAGAGGGAATTAAAAAAAAAAAATAATTCAGAGGAAGTCCTAACAACAATAAAATCCAAAAGCATTTCTCTCATTGGAGGTTTTGGCTTAAAAACAAAGAAATGATGAGATCGGCAGACACCTTATTAACAGCGTGAGAGAGAAGGGATTGCAAAATATATTCATAAATGTTCTTCAAGAGCAGTGCGTTTGCTACATGCAAATACAGACAAAATAGTGGAAATATTCAGTGGGATTCACTGAAATGCAAGAAACCATCTCCAAAAGCCGTCATTGTTTTTTTTTAATACGAGTAGCCATTAAGGACAATAAAACATTCTATCTCAAATATTTTAAAGTATTTTCTCTGGGAGAGGCTGGGTTCCAAGTCGTTCTTTTTACGGATTTTTGGAGGGCTGAGAGCAACGACCACACACCCCACATAACCAAAGTAACACTGACACAGTATAGCCTACTCTGTAAGGACTGAACACTAGAAAATGACATCCAAAGCACTGAACACACTGAAAGGATATGAATTAAAACTAAACTGCTCTTCAGCTCTAAGAAAATGCATCCACCTGAAGGGATGTACAAAGGGGCTGTGAAGCAGTCCCGCAGGAGCAGCTCTGTGTTTCCATAAATATGAGTCAGCACCCTCACTGACCAGTAAGAGATACTGGTGAGCCTGTTAAGGTGCTACTGACACACTCAGGAAAATAATTTGCACTCAGAGGCAGCCCTGCAGATATTTAAGAGGTTATCCTCAAGTGTTTCTTAAGGGACTGTAACTTTTTCTTGGTGTCTATAGGAAACAAGCACTATAAAGCAAAAGGGAGGATCCTTGGGGAGAGCAATCACGAATTTCAGGTGCAGCACCCAAGGCAAACAGACACTATTTCACTTGTGGTCCATCTTTGAGCAGCTGCTTACCACTGCAGACTGAAGAGGTGATGTTGTACAGAAAAGGGTAGAACTGCAAACAGCGGATCATCTTCAGGCTGCTTTCGCACTCCGAGCACTCGGCCGTCAAATCCAGCGCGTGCCTGAAGGCCTGCAGGGCTCCGCTGATGTTGTTCAGCGCCAGATACGCGTTTCCAAGGCTCAGAAAGGTCAGGGGCTGCAAAGAGAAAGACAAAGTGCCCCGGCGTTAAGTACGTTCACTGTTCAAAATTGAAGCCGACTAGGAAAAACCCCCGTCGATCCGCACCCTCCCAGAATTTGGCTGGAAAGAATTTAGAAGATTTCTTATCTACGGACTGCCTGTTCTTCGAGCGGAGAACTAACAGCTCGATGCATTGGTGCTAAATGAAAGCTGTTTTGACATCAGGTTGCTTTCAGGATTTCGTCTTCCTACGACGAAAACCAGCTGTTTAATACACACAAGCTGAACGAGGCATTAAATACTTATGTATAATCCATCACAAGCACAACGCTTACTGCACAGGGTGGCAAAGAACTAGCTTGAAGACACTTAGAACGATCTCAAGTTGGCAAAAAAAGTAACAATATTAACCAGTGTTCTAGCAGGAGAGGTGCATTGCATTTGTCAAGAGCATTCAGGATTTACCTGAGCAGAACTAGGTTATGCAGAGCACCAAGGTCACACCAGTTCTCACACTAGTTTACTTGTAAATCTTTATAAAACTCCTTACGCCCATGGCAGGGGAGTTGGAATTAGATGATATTTAAGGTGTCTTTCAATCCAGACCATTTTATGATTTTTGTCCACTGCTTTTGGTTAGTCTCCCTAAAATAACTGTTTTGTTTTTCTAAAGTACAAATTTTAAACACTTTTTTGACTTGGTAGAATTTAATTGCCATTTTAATACAGGCATTTAGTAAAGCATTACACTTCGTTGGCTGAAAAGTCTTTCACTTACACAGAGAAAACAGCTGCAATTAACAGCATAACACTAGAATAATGACTACAATATTGTCATTTAGCAGTCATTTTTTCCACTGAAATAATTTTACATTCATTATCTGAAAACGCAGATTTAAGATTTTTCAGCCTCTTAGGTTGTATTATTGGAACACCAATCCGAAAAAGGTGCAAGCTGAGCAACAGCATTTTTCTTCTTTACAAAGCTTTGCAAACGCAAGACCAAATTCACTTGCTGGAGGTGTCCCCCACCACATCCCCGCTCCCTTTTCACAATTGTTCTGGCCAGCCCAGTAGTTTAAATTGTTTATACAAAAACCTTCTACGGGATATAACTGATCACCTATAAAATGTTTATCACGTTACTGTTCAGAAATAAAAAAACCTGTTCTGAATCTACGTTTGGAAGTAAAGTCACCAGACAACTAGAACACAGCTTTTCCTCTAGGTATAGAGATGAAATCTAGGGACAAATGAAACCGTAAAGATAAAAAGCGAAGTGGCACAGAAGGATGACTAAAAGCCGAAGATCTTGGCGATGTACATCCTACTTCAAGGGTTTTAAAAATCAAGATACAACAATGACAGGATTATGGATCTGTTTTAGATGAAAGCTTTGCCAAAACACCAGCACTACATTCCTTGGAGTCACAGCTGATAACACAGGTCTTGGGAAGCAAAGCGAGTCTGTCATCTATCTGACAAGAACTTTTGCTTTGGATGTTTACATTCAGCATCACCTCAAGTGCGATCAAGAATTTAAATGAAAATTAACATCCGTTGCGAATCACAAGCTGCAAGTTGAGCTGCATCCACAGGTAAGCAAGCACAAGTAGCATCTACTTAGAAGACACTAAAGGGAACAACCGCCAAAAACATCATCTTACCTCAGAGGCATTGATGGCCAAAGCCTTCAGCGGGAGCCTGCTGGCGTCCAAATGCAGACCGTAATGCATCAAGAGGTTCGCAAGATTGACCAGAGGAATGTCCTGGTACTCGTGTGGAGCCAAATTAAATGCTTTTTGCAGACAGGTGATAGCGAAGGTGCCGTTTCCAACGGCACGCCAGAACAACCCAGCTTCATTAAGCACAAGCCACAGAGGATCTTCTGGCTAGAGGAGAGTGAGGGAAAAGGATGAAAACGCCCACCAAGAGGTATCTTGAGAAGACAGGATCACCTGCTCTTTGATACAAAACAAACCTCACCCTTGCATAGGACCTTATTAGCTGGATGCAAATTACACTTTGCTGTGACCGCTCAGGCAGGTGACTCAGTCTGTTCTGCTCTGCATTTACAGTCTGAACCGTAATTAAGCAGCAGCTGCTGCTCACACTCAACCCATACAACCGCTTCATTTCAGCACCACAAAATCCCACACAATACACAAGTGGTAACGGTTGGCAACATTTGCGAGGCACTCTAGAGTCTTATAATTACGTTACTACAGATCCTTGTGGAAATGTTACAATTTGAAGGTCAGGCAGCTTTTAAATTGCAGTTGGATCTGTCTCCAGGTCCTATACCTAACATCAAGAGCTCCTGTCAATTTAAGGTTTCAGAGTTGGGTTTTACTTCGATTCTGTTATCTATTAGTCTCACGAAAGTTGAGGAGTGACACACATTAGACACCGTTTAAAGGTTATGTAATAGCGAGCAACGGGTGAGGGGAGGTTGGAGAATGGAGGAAAGTTCCTTCCTCCTCTCCCACCTGTAACAGAAAAACCAAACACTCACCCTAGAGGAGGCCCAGCAAAACTTCAAAATACTGTCGGGTGGACAGAGCTGTGCAAAACATCCACCTTCAGAAATGGTTTAGAAACACTCACATTCTGGTTTTCAATAATGCACGTTATTCATGCCAAAGCCCTCACTGAATTCCACTCCATGTGCAGGTATTAAGTCAGTTTCACCTCAGTTACAGGCATCAAATTAGCTACTTTATTGCACATCACTGACTGACTTCTTCAGAAGTATAAAAAAGGCCTCGAATAAGAATTCTGAATTTATCGAACGCCACGGTTTTTGACCTACCTTTCTCATGGCACTATCAAGAAACGCTCCTATCGTCGCCTGCGTAACAGTTTGATTGTTGAGACGAGAATGCAAAACCTAGACAACAAAA